ATGTGAGGAAAATTATATTATTTGTGTATTTCTATCATAGATAGAATATTATGTATTAATATTGTACCCTAAAGTCTTATAATACTGCATCTCAAAAAAACTAAGATCTGAATAATATTGAGAATTTTACAAAATATATTTAGTGGCACATTTTTCCCCATAGGTCTCAACCAGCTTCCAAAATAATGGTTGGTTGGTAAACTCTCAGGTTGGTGTCAGAGTTACAGGTGATCCATAAATTGGAAGATCTGCGAGTGGGTTTACTAAAGTTCATGATGAGCAAAGAAAAAGACCTCAGACCAAGTAAAAAAATAGCATCAGGAAAGGCTTGGGAGTGAACTTCTGAAATAACCAGCCTGTAAAAGTCATTTTTTGATTTTTTTTTCCTGCTTATTACTTAAGGCTTAGGGGTAAAGGATGTTGCTTAGTACCCCCCACCCTCAGGTCAGATTCTAAGAATCCTAAAGCAGGAAAGCAAGAGTGAGACTACTGCAAAAGAAAGGCAAGGTTAACCCTGTGCCCTTCCACACCAGCTGTACAGCGAAAGGCTGGAAGGAATGGCTCCCGTGCAGTGAGCAGGATCCGTGGGGCTGTGCACCCACTTCTCAGCACCCGTGCTTGGGCTCTGGAACGTTTTGCTCGTACCTTCTGTCTTCCCGTAGTTCTAGACGTGCCCTTGGATGGAACGGCTTTGGGCTAGTTCAGAGATCCTCTTTGAGACAAGAACTTCTCTACATAATTAAAGATACTGATTGATTCCCCTGAAATAGCTAAAGGTAAGTTTAATTTGATTTGTTTTTAAAAGGATTCTTTCTCTTGGGTTAATGTCACTCATGGTATCATAGGAGATTCTGAAAGCAGTGAGATGCACTGTAGAAGAATTTAAATTCTCCAGGGAGGCTGTCTACCCCAGTAGCCACTTCCTACATGGGAATACCGAACACTTGATGTGTGGTCAGCTCAGATTTGGATGTACAGTAATTAGAGAGCATATAATGGATTTCAGAGACTAATTATGTTAGAATCCAGTAAATAAAGAATATAAAAAACTTTAATAATTTTATCTTTGTTCTATATTGCAATCATAATACTTTGTATAAACTACACATATTAAGATTGATAGTCCCACATATTTTTACTGTTTTGAATATTGCTAGTAAAATTTTTCAAATGGCATATGTGACTCATACTATATTTCTGTTGAATAGTATTGCTCTGTAAGAAATAGATTACTATAAATCTCTTAAGTTTTTCCTAAAGCAATGGAAGAATAAGAAGAGGCCCAAAACAGTATCAAGGAATAGAAAAGAAGAGATTTACTCTGTGTTGCCATGCATGTGTAAATGTGAATATTATATAGTGATAAATACTCTGAAGATGTGAATGATTTACCTCTTTTCCAGCTCTCACAAGACCTTTCTTTCTCCAATACATCTAGCACTGTATTTTACGAGTCGAGGAATTATATTGCTGAGTAAACATAGTGCTAATATTTCAAGGGATCCTGGGACACATGGTTTTACCTTTTGCATTCCTTTTTTAGTAGTAAGCTTTTATTAGTACATGTTTACAGTACATAATGATTATATTTTCATGGGATATTTGTGCACGCGCATAACATACCTTAATTCTTTTTGTCCCCTTCCCCACCCACCCTATTTCCTTCAACTTGTTTCCCTTACTATTTGCAAAAGCTCCATTTCCATCTTCCCCTACAATTCTCTCCATTTAAAAATCCCATTTTCCTTCCTTCCCTCCATCTCTGGCTTCCCTAATACCAGTATGAATACCATACAGTTTTATCAGCATTGTAATTTAATTACGTAGCTGAATCACCCTGGAGCCTCAGCATCAGACAATTATGAGCATTCTCTTACTAAATTACAAACTACTTATTCTGGGTGTGGTGGCACACAGCTGTAATCCTTGCACTCTGGAAAGCCGAGGTAGAAGCATAACCAGATCGGACCCAGCCTGTGCTTCTTAGCCAGACCCTGTCTCTAGATAAACATATGAAGAAGGTCTGGGGATGTAGCTCAGGCAAAGGCTCTGGGTTCAATCACTAGTATTGCAAAATTTAAAAAATCTCCAAATAGAATTTCTGCTGCTGTTCATAATGATTAAACATTCACTTTCCTTTCCTCTGTGGACACCAGTGCACTCTAAATCTAACCATGATCTTTAGCTGAGACCGCTCACTCTCCTCCCTAGCATGCTCTATCAGCTTTCACCCATAACTAATCAATCCACCCTTTGGAGTAGCTGATGTTAACACTATTGGTAACCACCTTAAAAATATAGCACAAACCTTTCAATCTAGCATTTCTAGGCTTTATTTTCATTTCCTGAACCATCTACTTTTATCCTAAGAAATGCACAATTTACTTATACACAGGAAAAGAAAAAATAACCCTAGAAATTCATGACATCTCAAATGATCTCTAACCCCAGAGCAACTGGAAAGCTTTCACTCTAAACCGGAAGTTTAATGGAAGTTTACCTCCGTGGCAGTCTTGTCCAAGACCCACTTCCTCACATAAAATTTCTTCTTTAAGACAAGGTCTCACTGTGTACAACAGGCTAGCCTCAAACTTGTGACAGTTCTCCCACCTCTGCTTTCGAAGAGCTGGGATTAGAGGCATGTGCCATCGTGCCCTGCTCTACACATATAAAATTTTAAGGGCTCTAAGATAGTCCAGTTTTGTGTTCAGTTCTTCCAGAATTCACCCGGATTAGTTAATTCGTAGTGTTTTTAAATTTCCATCTCTTAAAAAATAGAGATAAATAAATAGATAGAATAAATATTCACATTGATTTTCTGTGGTTCACTCATGTACTCCTCAAATTCTACTTCCAAAATACAATTTTGTTTCTTCCCTTTGGCATTTGATTCCTGGTTGACACACCCCACTAGCTCCACTGCAGATGGACTTATATGACCATATAAGTCTTATATGACCATATATGACTTATATAACCTCCACTCATCTTCTCTAACACAGGAGCTGACATCAAATCACCACCTTTAATTACCTCCAGTGGCCATGCCCTCTGTTGATCCCAAAAATAAGCCAGCAGCTTGGAGAATTTCAAAAGGAGGAGTGCATTGTTTATAGGTACAGAGTATTAACCAAGTAACACAAGATAGAAATCCTTACTGGGGCCAAGGCCTGGTGACACTGAAATCATTCTGCAGATGGACCCAGGTGATTACGGGCCTCTCTTTCCAAGAGCATGGCTTTGTGCCAGAAACTGCTAAAGCATGCATGTCTACTTTACCAATAGGAAATGAAGTCTTGGAAAGATCAGAATGTTTCACATAGCAGGTAACCCAGAACGGTTTCGCACACCGTTCCCTCTCACCCTTAATCATATTATTTCCCTTTATCATTGCAGATACAATGAAGCATATAAAGGCACATTCTTGAAAAATGTCTTTGGAATCAGTATGAGGGAGGAATGCAAAGCACTGCTGAAGGAATAACCTAGGGCTTTTCTTGGACATTGCATTCGCAGGCTGGAGGAGCTGAGATCAGAAGGTGATTTTCCCTATTTCACAATAGCCTTTGGACATGCCCATGATGACATCATGAACATCTTCCAGCACCCGCTCTGGTTTGAATCTGTTTCCATTTGAAGAAAATATCAGGTCAAATTTCCAATCTTCAGACTTTCCAGTTTTAGTAATAAAGACCAAGTTTTACAATGTCTGCTTTGTTCGAGCTCTTCCCTGACGTGATCAAATACCTAGCACATCTGGGAAACTAAAAGTGGTTAAACTCATTGATTAAATAAAAATCTTATAGTCATTTGACAACACTTTTAAAATTTATTGGTCTGGGCTTCTTTGAGCTGTTCAAGTAAACTGTTAAGTTAGTAAAAGTCTCAGTTGGAGTACAGATGAAATTATCTCCATAGCAAAGTTCCCTCATAATAATGTTAATGAATTTTGGGGTATTTTTCAGAGCAGCACAGTAGAGTGAATACAGTGATAAATGTAAGTTGTGTGTCCTCCATATAAACTGTACTTTAGCAACTAAACAACTTCTAAAGTCACCAGGTTGTACATAGTATGATACAAGCGGCATACATTCATGTGAAGTGACTACTAATGTCCGATTATAATATTTGACTATTAAAGATTTTTAGAGTACAATAGAAGCTGAATTGTAGACACAGCCAGAAGAACATACGAATTTGGAGGAAGTACCTTCACTATTTCTAATTTTAACTTTTTTGTTTCATGGGTGAGAAAAATGAAGTTTGTCGCACATGAGCAGACTCAGTTCCTCTTGAGGAGCTACCTTTTTGCTGCTACCATCACCTGCAGATGTCAAACTCCGGATTCTGTTCCTCAGAGTAGCCTCTCCACGGGGCATGCAGGCCTCTGGCCTTGGGCTGGGGCAGCACCCTTGGTCCCTAATTTTGTGAGGTCTCCAGTTTCTGGGACTGAGCGGCTATTGATTTCTCTGGCTCTTCAGCCTGCAGATGGCCATGGTGGGACTGCCCAGCCTCCCTCTGCCCATGGAAACCAATTTACTGATCTGGCTCTCTGTCACATACAGAGCTGGGTCGAGTCCTCTGGAGGCCTGCAAATACAGCCTCCATCTCATGATTTTAGGAAAAAATATTAATTTTAAAGACAGACTTTTGAGTTTTTACAATATGTTGCTTACTCCTAGTAGAAAGTAGGAGTCAGTATATGTTTTCTAAATGAAATCAAATTACCATTAAATTTTCTTATGAGCACATAGGCAGGTTTGCACAGTGAATTTACCTTTTCAGTTTGTTGCTTGTATTAAAGTTGATTTCTGAGCCGAGTTTGATCCCCAGTACCCAAAAATAAAACAAAACAAAACAAAGTTGATTTCTGACCATTATAACACTACTAAACTCTTCGTAAATATTTTTGACACTGAAAAATAAAATGAAAATATAATATTTAATCTTCAGAAAATTATTGTATGGAACATTATGTGAAAGTAAGCAATCACCACCCTGTCCATCTAAAATTTAACGTCTTAAAATTGCTTTACTCGTCCCTTAGGAATTAATGTTTCTGCAAATAAATTAGATCGTTCCTTTTCCTTGGCCTTCATTTTAGGTCTTATGTGGCATTTCTGTGTTCATAGTCATCTTTTTTTATTAAGCAAACTTGTCCAATATCCAGGAATTGCTTTGGAGAAAGAGGCTTTAACCATGTACTGAAATTTAGTGTTTTTCCTCAGCAGAGGAGAAATTTGGGTTATCTAGAGCACCACCACTCCATGACAGCCTGGCCCTGATTGTCCTTTGGCACGCTCTTTGACCCAACGGCAGCTCCTATGGCGAAGATATCCCTGGGCACTATAGAAGCAATGCCTCTGAGAAGCCACGTAAACTTATAGAAACTCCGAACCAAGAAGATCATAGGCTCAGACATTGCCACGGTGCACAGGGACAAATGAGGGGACACTTGGATTCTGCTTGAACAGTCTGCTAAGGGAATCACAAGTTTACCCTTGCAAGTGCTTGTCTCACACCTTCTCACATAGTTCGGGTGAAGTAGCACCTGTTCTCTACATGGAGACATCTACATCCTTAAAAGTCCAGGTTTGAGCACTACCAGGTTACAGTTTATTTCACAGAATCATATACTAAGCCTTGGTACAGTTACTAAGCTGTAGTGAGAACTGCACAATGTTTTGGAAATAGATGAAGCTTCAGTGAGAAGAAATTTGTACATACACTTCAAAGGTAAAAAGTCATGGTTTGGTATTTCTAAAAATGAGATATTTTGGTGCCGGGGATTTGGCTCAGTGGGTTTGTAGTCTGCCTCACAAGTGCAAGGGTCTAAATTCGATCCCTGCAACCCCCGCCCCACAAAAAAGAGCTGTTTTGAGAAATATTGCAGAGTGTGTTTTCATGTAAGTCATTTATGCTTAAAACTCCCTCATTTCTCTCATCTGGAGAATGAGATAATTGTGAGATTGTGAAAGTTGGGTTAATACCAGGAAAACTTAGAAGAGTGTCTGGCAAAATGCAAGCTGGGAGTGAATTTTAGGTGTTATTCTTGCTTCTCCTGTCTTTTACTGCTGCTAATTGCTGGTGATTAAAGTCTTAAAGGAGTTCATTGTAAACACTTCAATTGTTCCATATTTGAAAGTAAAAAATGCTTGAAAGTACATATAACCATCCTACATGTACACACACATCTAAATTTTAATTATCTTCAGTCTTGTTAATTGATGAATTGTGCTGCGTTTTCCCAGGAAGTCCACTGAGCCAGTGTCCTGGTGTCACAGAGGAAAGGAGGGCAGCATGCCTTCAGAAGCTGCAGTTATGCAGCATGGAACATAGCATCTGCCCCATATCAATGGGCTCTTAAACCAGAGGGGCCACACTGGGCACTGCTGCAAGCACTAGGTACTCAGGAAGAAATGGAAAATTTACAGTTTTCAAGAATATTCCATGAAAACATTCACTCCCACACAATACCCCCTGCTTTTCCCACATCTTTTACAAACGCATATGGTGAAACAGGTTAATGGATTAATTTTGGCAATTTGTATATACATAAAAAATCATCACTTTTACCCCTTTGTCTCCTTAGCCCTGCGCCTTGCCCCTAGTTTCACATTTGTGTGGGTTTTGATGTGCCTAATGCACTTCCATCCCATTACCAGTCCTTTTACAGCCTCTTCCCTTTTTCTAATAGTCTCGATTTTGCTTTCTTGTCATATGCCCCCTTCCTGTCTCCCTCACATACATTCACACACATTCATTTGCATAAACTCTCATTTGCATATCTCCATATAAAGTAGGAACACAGGCACATCTGTAGACTAGGGAGAACCACCTTTTCTCCTCCTACCCTTTCTTCTCAGTTCTTCTCTGTCATCCTTTCCACTCACCTTGTTCATTATCTTCAGAGATCTCATTTTGTCTTTTCAGACAGCAATCTTGCAAATTCTGGCAAAATAACTTCAGTGTGTGCATCTTCCATCTTGGTGGGTTGACCTCTTTGCAGGAAAAGCACAAAGGGTAGGACAGGACTTGGACATAATAATACTTAAACCACTGATAAATCACACAATTCAAATTTTCAATGTGAGGCAAGAGGAGGCATGGGGATGACCCCTCATTTCTACCTCATTTTTACCTTGTAACTACCTACATGGAAGATTTTTCCTTGCCACCCATTGAGGAGACACTGGGGCCAGTCCAGATGCCTGGGATGTGTTAACAGGCATGTATGCAGGATGTGGGAGATGCTGGGCCCTGATACGAAATAATAATAGTAAGTAAAGACTTCTATTCTGGCCAGGTATAGCTAATCAGAAGTGAAAATGCACACTGTTAACATTGGTATCCACATCGGGTACATTCAGCCAGCCCTTTTGCTCCATGGAGCCTGGTCCTGTCAGTGGCTATCCTAGGTGAGAGTCTCATAAAAGAGGCACATGGCTCAGGGGGCTGAGAGGCTAGGACAAAGAATGCAGGACCAGGCTCCTTTCCGCTCTTTCCCCAATCTCAACATAAGCGGTATTATTGCTTGTAATTTTAGAAACTTACTTTGTTTTTTCTCTCGCCGGGATACTGCCAAAGCCGCTATACCATCTCCCCTTTGACAAGCTACTGCCGTCTCGAAGAGCTATCTGGAACAACAACAGTGCTTCCTGGGGATCATGAACATTTTTTAGTTACCCCTCCTGTGTGCTAAGGAATCCAACAGTCGGGGCCTCACGCAGGACTTGCCAACATAAAGTCTAGAGGAAGGATTGACCTATATGAAGGTGACTGAAGACCACAACTTTAGGATTGCCTTATTTGTTCAAATGAACACTGAATTTTTTTTTACAATGAGTTTTGAAGCAATAGCTCCTTTGTATCTTTTTAATTATCTGCAGTGGCATTGGATACACATGAATTTGAAATAATCTTCAGCTTGTTGTGCGCAATGACAGGCATACTTGATCTTTTTTTCATAATACTAAATCCATCGGGCATTTGATAGTCACCGAGTCTCTAGATCAATAGGAATAAAAATAAAGCTCTTGTGTTCTTTCTCTGCCTGAATCTCACTACTGCTTTCAGGAGTGTGTTTTCTTTTTCTTCGTTTGACTAGAATTCGATAAAATCTTCTCTGGAGGAAATTGAAGTTCTCTTCTGGACTCCTAGTTCATGTGATCTCTCGCTTTTTCTCCTTATATTTATGTTATCTTTTCTTCTCCCAAGAGCTGCTTTGCTTCTTTACTCTTCTGAACTGAGTTGGAATGAATACTTTTGTATAACAGGGTCTTGAGTTGTGCCATGGTTTCTTTTCCTTCCATTGTCAAGGCCAAATCCAAGGCTTATTTATATAGCCTCATGGCTGTTTTGAGAGACCTGTGTGTCTTACCTTGGTGGGCCCGTTTCAGTGCCTGCTCCTGGGCCAGACCCGGGTGGCGGGGGTGCAGGTTCCAGTGCGGTCGGTCCAGGGTGGCACCAGGCAGAACTGGTCCTGTGAGGCTGACACACCACTCTGAGTGGGGAACCACACATGCTTAGTGACAGGCACCTACTCATAAAGAACTAATTTGCTAATATTTTCTTCATAATCTCTGAATCTATTTTTGTTAACAAGAGCAGCCTGTGTGCTACTTTTATATCACTATAAAAATACTGGATAATCGACTGATAAAAATGAAAGGTTGATGTTGCCTCGTGGGTTTGGAGGCCTCAGTCCATGGTTCTTTGACCCCATTGCTTTAGGCTTATAGGAGGTGGTGCATCATGGCAGAGATGTGGTGGAGCAAAGCCCTCCACCCTGTGTCTGGGATGTGAAAACAGGAAGAAAGAGAAATAGACTGGGGTCTCATAGTATCCTTCAAGGACAGCCCCCCAGAGACTGAAACTTCTCATACAGGGTTTTACTCCTTAAAGTTTCACCACTGCCCACCAGCCATATCCAAAGTATAGTAGCCAGTTAATGTTTTAGAAACACCTAATTTTTATATCAAAATTATTCTTGATTTATAAAATACCGGATAATACCCTGTAGTTTTCTAGGGTTAGACATATGTATATGCATATACTGATATTTAGCAGAATTCTCAAAATGTTAAACTTACCTTTTCAAAAGGTAATTAGCTCCGGTATTACTTTGTGGGGAGACTTTTTCTTCACAGTAATGGGGGCTGGAAGGTCAACTGGACTTCAGTGTAGGAGACGCCCCTGCCCAGTACTAGTGGGCTATGAGTGGCACATGCTTCTTGCCTCCCTAATCCGGCTGTATTGTTTTCTATCAGGAGTCAGACCGAAGCCCTGCGTGGCTCAAACCGGCAAGACAGCTAGCAGAGTTGGGCTAGCATTGCTCCTTTGCTAATGGCTGTCACTGAAGCCTAAGTCCTGGTCGGTGAAGTGGCAGGGCTCTGCTGAATTATGTGCAGCTGAGGTCAGTGCGAATCCAATTATAATCCTTTGCCCTGAATTATCGCTTCTCACTGACCTTGTGGGTTGTTTGCTAATTGCACCTCCCAGTACTGGTTTCTTCCTATCCTAGCAAGATAAGCAGAGCCTACTCCCTGATAGCCTTGCCTGGTGCCATCATGCCAGGTACCCAGCAGTAATTCACTAGATGACTTCAAAGCACACCCTATCTCCCTCTTCCTTCCCCAAATTGTATTCATTAAATACAGGATCTTTGTCTTTGTTGCCATCAATAGCACTGACTAGGAACCAAGACTCAGCTTCTCCAGGCTGTCTCATTTCTGTCTGTTCTTGAATTCACCTTGTGCTGTGGTGGCTCACAGATCAGGACCCAGGTTCTGATAATGTTCCCTTCCCTGCTCCCTACACTTACCTTCTGTTAGCTTCCTGAGAGCTGAAGTGAACTTTCCAGACAGCTTCATCCTTTTCTCTGTGTTGTGCTGTTTCTGCAGTTTCTAGTTTTTCTCTCAGCTTCTTTCTTCCTGATACTTTTTTCTACTAACCAAATTGTTTTCCAGGTTTCTTGATTCCAGGCACCAGAAAGGCTGTATTTTGCTGCTAATCTCACTGAGATATTTTGGCCTCTCAGATACTTTGTTTTAAAGTGTGTTGTATTTATTAATATTTACTATATTAGAAATTAAACCTGAAAGATTTAAAATACAACCCTGCACATGCATGCTAATAGCAATTAGAGCTATGCCCCATTCATCATTAGAACTGTGGCATTATGACACATCACACACTTAAAGAAGGAAAGTAAAACCAGCAAAAACCTAGTATTATTTGGCTGCTTGCAGCCCTCAAATGGATCTTGAACTCGAGTCTTAGATTGCAATTTAGAAACATTATTTTAAACCATGTAGAAGGTTCAAGGATGTCAAATGATAAAGGGGCTGTTAAGGAGGAAGTGGGTCTAACATTCACCTCCATTACTTTTTTTTTTCTTTTATTTGCCTCAAAAAATTTAAATCTGACACTTTTTGTAATGCAAAAATATTTTGTTGTGTGTTCATTTTCTATCTCATGTAACTCTATGCTTTGTGGATTCAGTGTGGACCTAGACTTACTCTATTTTTACATGAAACAATTAGATGCCTTAAGGGAATCACTTTTCTTATAAACTGATGCTTATACAAGGACTCAAAAAGTGAATTTGAAGATATTAGGGTATTGAAGAAAGACCATCTTATTGTAAGTAAAATAGTTTTTAAAGTAATATATTCATTAAAGGTCATGTCTTGAGACTACACATTTCTGTCAACAATATTTATATTTAACTTAGACATTAATTTTGTTAATACAAAAATTCATGTCCCTGACGAATCTTAAAACAATGCTTTCTTGGAAAAAAATGTGTAATAAAGATTGCTGAGTGAATCAGTTAGCAATAGTAATACATGAAAATGTAGAAAAATCAAAATACATGATAATTAAGCTTGTCTGACTGAATGGCAAGGATAATACATGTAAAACACTAGTGCAATATTTTGCTACAGAATGAAAAAGTAGCATATTTTAGAGGCAGAGGATATGGGACCACTTCTCTGAAGAAACAATTTGTACAAGTTAGTTGCATTTGCATTTTTGCTTACACTCTAAAAATTGAAAATTTTATTTTCAGATTTCTTTCAGATTGGAATTCTATTAGCTTGACAAAGATCTGAGAATTTGAAAATTGATGATAAATATCTATTATCAATCTTTGCTCATTAGAGAAATAGATTTAATGCAAGATATGTAAGTATATAAGGATTCACAAGACTGGCTTACAATGGCCGCCCACAGAATAAAGTGTGGAAGAGCGCAAAACGGCTGTCCGTGTGCTGGAGATCCAAAGAAGCCAATTAAAGGCCTGGAGCTCACTACTGTGTTCTGTGCAAATCGGTAGCAGGAGGCCTAAGTGTGGACGACAGAAGGCTGAAGGGTCTGTGCTGGAAGGCAGAAGACAATGTCTTCTGAAAGACTAGAGGTGAAGACTAGGGCTCCTTTGAAAAAACAGAAGCATGCTTCCCTCCTCCACTTCCCACTCAGGTGACAAGCCTAGCCAGGGTGGGCCTTCCTTCTGTTTTCAGTAAGTCTCCTTAGCCACACCTAGAACTATGCTGATTAGTTGGGTGTTTCTTACTCAAACTGACAATCACTTAACTATCACAATATGTTATAGTTTGTGTCTAGATGTCCCCTCAGAGCCTCATGTGGTCATAGGGCTTTTTCAAAGGTTGTTAAATCTAGAGTGTGTGATGCTGAGATTAAGGGTGTTTGATTAGTAAATCAATCCACTGACTGGATTGGCATCACCCTAATTCCGGTAGTTCTGGGTAAGACAAAAGGGACAGAAAGAATCTGTTAAGGTTCCCTTGTTGCTTTTGCTACTGTCGGTGCCATGAAATGTTTCACCTCTTTGATGCCCCGTGCCTTGTGCCACTCTGTCTTTAAGCCAGCTGATTATGGACTGAAACCTCTACAAACAATAAGCCAAATGAACTTTTCCCCCTTTAACTCTGGGTGTCAGGTATCTATCTGAGCAATGAAAAAAGTAATTTAAAACAATATCCATTTGTTTTTCATTTAAAAAAACACTTTTTATATTAGTACATGTTTGCAGTACACAACGGCTCCATTCACCACGGGGAGTTGATACATGTACATTCCGTATCTTCTTTTAGTGCCCTGCTCATTTCCTCCCCCACCCCATGTCTTGGTCTACTTCCATTTTGCACAAGTTCTATCTCCAAGTTTTCTATTATCTGTCCTTTATTTGATCTTTAGTTTATACTTCTGAGTTTCTCATATAAGAGAAACCATGCAATATTTAACCTTGTGTGTCTAATTTCACTTAACATTATGGTTCAAATGAATCCATATTCTACAAATGTCTCCAACTTCTTCCTTCTGTATGGCAGAGTAGTAAAAACCACTTATCAGTTTCTTGACTCAGCTAAGTTTTTGTCAGACAAAAAAATAAAAATTAAAAGAGCCAACAACAACCAAAGGAGCCAGAGAGCAGCACTTCCTTGGCAGAGCGAGGCCCACCAGCCAAAGTACTGATAATATGCGCAGGACTTCAGTACAAGTGTACTGCACCTTGGCAGCACTCAGCTGCTTTCCCTACCAGGACCTTGCAAACATTGTCCACTCTGCTTCCAAGTGTTTTCAGTGTTTATCTGGTTTTTGGATGAAGAGGGGTTCCTAATAGGAACTCCTTGCTACACTCCTGTCTTACAATGTGAGCATTCTCAGGGGCCAGTTGAGACAATCCTCTGATATAAAACCCAATGTCTGACTTCCTCTAAAAGGAGAGAGAAAAAAGTGTCACTGACTCCACCAACTCGAAATGCCTATTGAATACCTTCTGTGTGACAAATGTGTGCCTCATGATGAGAAACGGAAGACCCTCGCACACTTGAGGTCGTAGTTTAGGCAGCTCTCCCCACATATCACAAACTCAAAAGAACAATCACATACATGTTTGGACAAGATTGTCACAACTTGAAAGGTGATGCGACGGGAGATAAAGGGCTTCAGTTCTAGGGACCGACAAGGGCCTGGAGCACTTTTCACATGTGAAAAATGATAAAGCAAGGGGCCTATGCCTTGATTGCCCTGACCCAGGGCTTGAATCCTCCTCCATGCTGTCAGGAGTAGTACAGTGCTTTGTCACAGGGTTTCTGGGATACTTAAAATGACCCATGTGAAGCACTTCATATAAGAGATTTGAGCCCATGAAGCCTATGCCAGCCTTTTGTTTTTTGGGGGTACTGGAGATGTCACCCAGGGGTGCTCTACCACTGAGCTACTTTCCTAGCCTTTTATTATTTTTTGAGACAGGGCCACGTTAACTTTCCCAAAGAAGTCTTGAACTAATGGTCCTGCCAGGAAGCAGGTATTACAGGTGTGTACCACTGCTCAAGGCTCAGTTGTCAGCTTTTATTATTGCTGTCATTAGGCAGCCATGTAACAGTTGATTCCTAATGCAGACACCACAAACCCAGCCCTGGTCTCCATTGAGTTGATTGCTGGCTTTCGTTTGCCCTATTGAGATATATGCACATATAGGAACATGTGCACGCACCCGCACGTGCACAAACGCACACACCCCCCTATTTGTTTTGGACAGTCTCACAAAGCAGAGCAGTTAGAGCATGATCCTTCATTTGGCATGGCTGGCTGGCCTCGAATTCGTAATACCCCTGCCTCAGCCTCTTGAGGGCTGGGACGACAGACGTGTGCCACCACAGCAGCTCTGACATATATTTTGTTAAAAATGTTGACTTAGTTGCCAACACAAATATCTCAATCAGCATTCCAGAACCAGAGGGAATCTAGGCTCATCTGGAAGGGTTAGCAATCAGCAGAAGCCATTGGAAAGAATACGGTTTTCTGGCTTGCCACACAGTCCCCAACTTTCTCTAGTGCCCTCTACCCCGGTGGGTGACTCCTGACTCGAGCACTGTGGGTCAGTCACTTGCACTCTGTGCCTCTCTGGTTTGCTTGATGGCCTCCTGCGATCCACAGGCAAATCCTAGCTGGTGCCTTTCTTAGCTCATGTGGCTTCTGGTCACCCACATGTAACTGCTTGATATGTCCCTGCCCCTCACAGTGTATCCTCAGCAGTTTCCAGGGTCTGGCAGGTATAAAATTCTGTAGGGCCAAGAGCAGGACAGGTGCTCAGGCTAAAAGTGATCTGATTCTCATCACCTCCTAATCCTTCTTGAAACCCTTGAGAAGGAAAAGTTATTTAAGGTGGTTTTATGGTCTGGATCCTAAATGTATCATAAAGGTCCATGTGTCAAAGGCTTGAGAAGCCCTGGCATGAAGGTGAGACTGAGAACCTTGTAGAAGTACAGCTCATGTGGGTGCCCTTGAATGGGATATGAGGCTCCTGGCCCCTGTCTCATTTCCTGGCTTGCAGAAAAGGGAACAGCTTCCTTTGCCACATGTCAGTCAGCTACAAAATACCCAGTTGGATGATGACCACAAGAAACTATCGTCAGGGCTGCGCCCCACAGTCAGCTTCTTCAAGAAGAGGCTTACTATCAAAACTATCACGTGGTAAGCTTTATTGCAGAGGCTGGCTTTGGCAAGGTTCCTGAGGAGACATCATGCCACTGCAACATCTGTAGCCTTTAAGGTGTTACAGAAGGAGAAACTGGAACCTGCCTTCATTACTGCTGAGGTAGAGCTCTTAAAGGAGCTACAGCACCCCAAAGTCATCCAACTACTGGAGGTCTTTGAAATCCATAAAACTATACCTTGTAAGAGAACTTGAGAGTGCAGGAGACCTGAAGCAAAACGTCCAGGCGGCCATCAAGGTGCTCACAGAGGCAGTGCCCCAGAGATTCTTTCTCCATTTCGCAGGTGCTATGCAACATTGTCATGACCAGGGTTTTGTCCACAGAGACCGCAATCAAACATGACATCTTACTGCACTACTTGGTAATACCAAGATCACTGACTTCGAGTTGGGGAAGAGGTTTCCCAGTACTTCCCAGGCAGAACGTGACCTTGCTTGGCTGCACAGCAAGGCACGCTACCCTTATTCTATTGGTGCAGCAGGTCAGGGTGGGCAGGTACTCCTCTCCTCCCTCTCATCTGACCTACAGAATGTAGTCTGAAAGCTTCCCAACCACAACCCCTCAACACCACCAACACTAAAGCAGACCTTGTGGCAAAACACTAAAGCAGACCTTGTGGCACTCATGGCTCCCTTTGGATATACCTTCTCCTAATCTTCCTCTTGAGTTGTTTACCAGGCAAGCACAGGAAGAACCCAATCCTGGCATCATAACTACGACTGACCTACTAAAAGTCATCGAATCACAGAAACCCTGAGGCTCAGAAAGTTTGACCATCAGAGGGCCAAGCTTTTGCTCCTGAACACCAGGCCCACAAGGGGTTAAGCTTAAAATTCAGGGTAAAGCCTGTAAATGAGGAGGTGGTACTGTCATCCTCCCCAGATCATGCACTCTTGGCTCTTGAAAGAAGGGCCAGAGAGCCTGCTGTTGCACTGACCCCTTCCTCCCTAGAATGAAGCCCCTAGGGTAGGAGGGTGGCCGACACTCCTGGCATTCCTTGACCATGTGCAAGACACCTGTCCCTGCATAGCCTGCCCAGCTCTGAAGCATCCTGCTCCACTCCTACACTAATTCATCTCCTGCCTGCAGTAGAAGATGTGGAAGGCTGTGAAGACGACTGCGGCCTGACTGCTGGCCCTGTACTGCCCCTGCCTGCTAGCTAGAAGAGACCCCCAGGTTCACCCAAACAAGGTGGCATCAATTAGGTAGAGAAGAGTAGAGACCCAGACAACCCAGCCGGGTGGGGGAGGTGGGTGGGCTGTCCAATGGTGCTTCCTGTGTTTTCTGTGTCTTGATGACTATTTTTTCAATTGCCAAGTCATAACTTTAGGGAGGGTCAAAGGGAATAGTTTCAGATGGACAGGAAGACCACCGCCAAACAATGTCTGGTATGTTCTAAGTGTCCATTTCCCATGTCTCCCTTGTACTTTCAGTACAGATTCAGAACAAACCACACAATAATGGATGGGTGTAGACTTCCTGGCAAGGAACGACTGGCCAGGCCTGCTTAACAGGCTTTATGAGGGAGCATAAGCAGCACAGCTGAATGGTGGTGTGCTGGGCCAGCCTGGCCTAGTTGCCTTTGTCCCGCACAGAGAAGATGAGTCTGAAGTGCCACAGGCTTCTCTGACGCTTGGAGTTACCTGGAGTCTACAAGGGCCCGGGACGCTTCATTCTTCCCCATCCCAGGTCCCTCTGCCAAGTGGATAAAGCCGCAGTGTCTCACCTTGCAGCCCTTTGTCCAGTGGAGCTAGAAGGGAAAGGTTGCATCTGCATCCTGAGAGAAGCTAGGTGGGTGTGCAGCCCCAGGAAGGCTGTGGAACTCAAGAACTTGGATCCAGCTGGAAGATGGAGGAGGAAGGAAAGGTGACTTAACTGACTTGTGTTCTGCTGTCCAAATTGCATGGCTGTGGCCACGGTCCGACTGCAGAGCCCTCATGATCAAGCTCATTCACCCAGGCACTGCCAGATTCCAGATTCTTGTCGAATTCTGGCTGGAGGCTGCAGCTCTTCACCATCTGGGTCTCCCTTTGGGCCTCCTGACACAACCGTTTTCCCTCAGGGTCAGCAGGAATGGTTTTTCTGTTGCTTAATTGGGCAGAAAACCTGCTGCACAACCTATAAATTCAACTAGAAGAAACACCAGAAAGACTCCCACTCTTGATTTAATCCAGAGGAACCAACCACAGTCAAGGTCAATCCTGTCTGTCCTGACCACAGCAACTGAGGCTGGATGAGACCCGGGCCTGAAACGAGTCTTAACTCAGAAACCTGAGTTCAAATGCTGGCTCTGCTGGTATCGGGTCATCCCTGCTGGTTTCAATCGCTCTGCGCCTCACTTCCTGGGCTGTAAACGCCTACCCGCTCCTCGCCCCGAGGTACCGGATGCCCAGCTCCTGGGTGGGTGGTCGCGCCGTGCCTTCCATGCTGCGGCCTGGGCCCTGCCCGAGCCCGGTCCGGCTGCTCCTCTCTATTGCTGCGCCGCTCCGCAGCTCCATAGGCGCCTTCCACCGAGGTGAGGCCTGAAACAGGCCCTCTTCTGGGCTCCTGCTCTACGGCACAGACAGGCAGAGGAAGCGGAAGCTGGCAGCGACGCTGCACCTCAGACGTCTCTCGTCGGAGACCAACGTAGGGTCCGTCGCTAACGGACGGCAACGGACATCCATGGACTGACGCATAACGGACGGACGCTCCACGGACGCAGGGGAAAGTGGCGCATGCGCAAACCAGGGTGCGAGGCGGGGTGGTAAAAGTCATTTTGTATCACAGTCAGTGACCCAAACTCAGTCCTCTTCTCTAGAGTTTAGAAAGGTGGCCTTGACATAAATGGAAAAGATGACTCCTGGAGCCGTGTTTCTATTAGGGAATTATACTCTCCATGACCTGTGTGAATCACAACAAACAGAAAACAGAGCAAAGAAAATAAGTAAAGTCAACCCCAGAATATCTCTGGATGGCTTTATAAAACTATGGCTCTGGCTTTCAAAAATCATTTTGTGGCAAAAATTAGCTTTCTGTTTTATTCTTCTTTAGAAACGTACAACCAAACCGAAAACATTTTTTCTTGGTATTTATTTATTTATGTAATCAGGGTCTTGCTATATAGTCCAGGCTGTCCTTGAACTCACTATGTAGCCGAGGCTAGCCTTAATCTCATGGTGATCCTCCTGTCTCAGCCTCTGGAGTGCCTTCACACTTGGCTTGTTATTTTTTGAGATGGCGGCGGGGAGTCTCACTATGTATTTTAAGATTTCTTGAACTGGCTGTATACCTCAGGCTGGTTTCGAAATCCTGGCGATTTTCTTGCCTCAGCCTCCAGAGCACTGGGCTTACAAATGTGCACCACCATGGTTGGTTCAGAATACCTTTTAACAAGGCGTTTATGTTCTTCCTGTAACTAAACCACACAAATTACAAAGAAAATTAGAAGAAAATAGTTTTGTTCAGACTAGCATTTAGCATAAACTTTAGAATGGTTGCCATGCTTTTCAGAATTTTGCGATTATGAAAAACAGAGATCTAAACATTGCCTTCTCAGACACAACCTACCTTTTTACTTTCAGAGCTCTGAATTCACAAGTATTCTAAGTGAATTCAGTATATATAGTGTATATTAATATATACAATGTTATAATGTATATACAATGTAACCTCATAAAGTACTTTCCAAAGCCAAACATATTATCTCCTATCATTTCTATTTTGATCAGCTTTCCATGGCTCTGACCAGGTACATGAAATAAACAGATTAGATGGAAGAGTTTATTTTGGTTCAGTTTCAGAGGCCAGGAATTCAAGTCTAGGTTGAGCAACATACTGAGACCCAGTTTGTTAAAAAAAAAAAAAAATCAATTTAATTTTATGGGTATACACTCTCTATAGATTAGTTGCACCTAATCTGTATTCTATTTCAATGATTAAGGGTCAGTCATGTGATCAGGTCTATGGTAATTAGACTATGCATTTTCTTACCTGTTAACTTCATTATCTTCTAGAGTGGTGACTACAAGCTGTAAATCCCAAACTACTTACCTATACAAGTAACTCTTTCTTTCTTTCTTTTTTTTTTTTGTTGTTGTTGCTAGGGATTAAACTCAGGACCCCTGTATGCTACACATATGCTCTACTATTGAGCTACCCTCTCAGCTCTGCTTTTATTTTTGGATGAACTTGTTTGATCTGAGGAGCAGGACATTTAAACAAAACACCTAAGTGATTTCCCTCGACATAGGAAAATGTAAAACAGAAAACCTATAAAATAAATACAAGAAACTTAAACAGTTCTGTCTTTCATTTCACATCTCATTTGATCCCCTGTCAGTGAGCAGAGTTTATTCCTCCAGGGACCCTGGTGTGTACCTTTATTCATTTAATAAGACTTCCTTCTCTGCTGGCACTGATAATTTCATATCCTAAATGCTTCTTGAAACAGATATGGCCTGCATGATCTTTACTTTGCACTGTGGCCTTCTCCTAACTTGTCTACCTCTATTTCTACTCCTGCCCCTTGCATTCATCCATAACATTTCCTCAAATACCTGTCTCCAATGCAAATGTGACCACGGACCACTCTTTCAAGCAATGAAATCCAAGCATTGTAAGATTACAAATAAGCTTTTTTAATAATCTGAACTCTGCCTTTCCATCTTTACTCCTTTCCTATTTGTACCCTTTCTCTGGCATTCAGAAACTGCTGGTGATGTTCTTCTCAGCAATCCTAAGCACAAGTAGGCTGGCCATTCTTCTCTTTCTCTCGTGCCGCTGTTCTTCATGCCCTTGCTCTTTACTGCCATCCGTCTCGCTGACCTCACTCTTTTAAGTCTCAGCTCCCGCAGTCCTTCTAGAAAAGCCATCCCGACACCTTTGATTGACACTCTTAAAAGCCCAGTGCATAGCACTTAGAGGAAATCCATGATTATTGAATAAAACAAGCAAGGACTACTTATGTAAAGATAAAAGATTGTTTCTTCTAGTTCAGGGGAAAGAGAAATGTACAGAAATACTTTCTGGTTCAAAAGTGAAAGATGCAGTAGGAAAGTTGATGAAACATTAAGGAAGTCCTGAGGAGAAAGACCCCTGCTTATCTAAAGAAAGACAGCCGTAATCAAGGAAGACTTCACATAGTGGACTAAATCTTAAAAGAAAAATAGAAATTTATTAGAATAGTGAAAACATTTCACATATAAGGAACAGGGTATTCACAGATAAAGGTGTGAAAAGTAACAGTAAGTTTGAAAATTATTATGGATGAACAATCCTCTCAGCAGGTTGTTTAAAGTTACTATGTGAGGTCCAGAATAGTGTGCAGTGTGGATTTAATTTTAAATTTTGTTTCAGAGGGGTTGTTGATCTACACTAAGTAGATGAACTTGCAGATGAATCTTTGAGATCTTTGTGTGTCTTGAACCTGGTGACACCTAGTGTCTCTCTAGGTTATTTGTTGAAGTCTTGGATAATTAGAAGCATTACCTAAAGAAATAAACATTCAGCTAAAGAGTAGGCTTAATTTAAACTCTTAATTGGGAAAGAAAAAATAAAATTGTTAATATTAGTTTTTATTTTCTACTTTCATAGACTATACCATTAATTATTCTAAGTAGTTTATTCAAACTAAATACATACATGTGTCCACAGAACCAGACTTAGGGTGTCATCAGAGGAGGAACAGAAAAGGCTTGATGGCAGTGAACATAACCAGCTCAGGTATGTAAAATTTTTAAATTAAATTTCTGGTTTAATTGTTTTCTTTCCTTTAAGACTGTTACATAGTCCAAATGAAAATAACTTAAAAACAAAAAACCTTTCAAACTAGCTTTTTAGAATCAAGAGATCAACAAAGATAAAATTGAAGATAAGTAAGACCATTACCTGACAAAATTGGCTGTAGCTCAATGAGAATTGATGACAAAATGTGTAGGAAAGGTTTCATGACGCAGAAATAGAGCACAATTTTTAATTATTTTTATAGTATACTGTAGAAGTATTTATGTGTAAATAAATTTATTAAATGAATACTATAATTGAATAGTTCACTTTTATTGACATGCCTAGTCATTAATATTTCCAAGTTAGACAAAACTCTTATATAGATCTTTTCATTGGGATTATATATGTATATATATAAATATAAATATAAATAAATACATATCTGAAGTTTTTATATAATTTTATGTAATATGAATGGAAAATGAAATATATAAAAATCCATATATTTGTGTAATATGTGATTTTAAGCATGGTGTGTGTATTGACTGATTGTAAGTACACTACCTTTCAATAATATTTAATGTTTGCATATTCACATTGATCAAAACACCTTTATTGGTGGGGGGTTGCCTCCTTATGTCTGTACACATAATTTCAGATTGTGCAATTAATTTCACAGAATAAGAAATTTCATGGTGTTATCCCTGAGCAAGGCACATAAAAGCTAATGCAGTACTGTAACACCGGATTTTTCCAGAAAGAAGAGGCTTTTTTGTGCTGGGACCCGCAGTGGGGCAGGAGCTCTCAGCTCAGATCTCCCAGACATTTTTTTTCAGCTTTAATTGAATTTATTGGTACATTTTTGGTATACAGTACAGTTACATTCATTGTTGGGATCCTGTACCTTTACATGACAGGTCTTGGTTCTCATTTTTTCCCCTTGTCCCTGCCCTCCCTTCACCCTCTCCTCTCCCCATCTACAAATACTTTATTTTCATCTTTTCATTATTTTACATTTTTTTCTTTTCTCTTATTACCCTTCCCCTACACAGTGGCAGACTTCCTAGCAGGGAGAGGGGAGAAGTCGCCTGTCTGTCCGCGGATGCCTGGACGGGAGCCGCTTCCTAGTCACAGCTTCCGGTTTAGGGGCCGCGGTGTTCACCTACGGCAGGGCTGTCGGTGTGGAACACCACTGGCCAGGTATTCTGGATTCTGCTCTGTGTTTTCCTCAGGAATCCTCAGTGGAAGGTCTGGAGACTTTTCTTGAAAAAAGACTACTGAAGAATTTTGTTATATAAAGAACGTATATCCTGACATGTTTAGGCCGTAGCTGATGTTATTAATTTCTATCATGCATTTTAGGATTTTAGATTGTGGCTCTTGTGCAGAAGTGCTTTCTTTCTCTCCTCGTTTTCATTTCCTAATAAGGTTATTGGTTTGTACAGCTGGCCAACCACAGTTCACATTAGGCCTGAAGCATAATTTAAAAGAAAATCAGTTCTCCTAGCCGAAAACAGCCTAACAGCTCCTCACTCAGATTATGCTCCCCTTTCTTGTCACTACTGACATCCTGGTTACTCGGAAACCTGTCATCCTTCAAGGCTGACACCCTTCTACCCTGCTGTACTATTAGGGTGGACAGTACATTCCCATAAATGAAGTCTTTGCAGCCTGTCAGGAACTGTACACCCTCAAAAGACATAGATGAGCTTGGCACCTGTGTCCTGCAGACAGAGTTCACAGGGAACGTGACTGTCACTGTGTGAGATGCGACTAACTTGCCTTTTGTCTGCTTCTGTAACCTTGTGTGTCCCCATCCCCACTTTCACTTTGCTAGAAAGACGCCCCCACCATTCAGAAAATATGGAAAAACCAGCACATTTCCTTGTCCAGCGCCGAGCCCTTTGGACCTGAGTTCAGCTGGGTCAGGTGCACACCTAATAAATCCTGATTTGCATTTGGTCCCTCTTGTCCTTTTGGGATTCTGCCATAGGCCAGAGAAAAGATCTTGGGGTCGCCATTCATTGGCCCCTTTTGGGGGGACTTTCATTGTTTCCTCTCACTGCTTGAAAAACCCCACATTGCAGAGGAGAACTCACATATATTTTTGCATAGGGCCTGGAAGATCCAGCGGAGACTGCTATTTTATGAGCTGGGTGCCCCCTTCCCCAACACAAATAGACTTCTTAGCTAGACAGGAGTCACATTGTTGATGTTCTCTCCTTTTCTAATTAGTTTCCCGTAGTTAATGTCCCCTGTCTCTAATTCTGTCCCACTTTTGGTCCAAAAGGGTATTAGCCTTAGTTTTATTGGTTCCATGTCATTTAATTAAAAGTATTCTGCTCCTCATTAATGTGTATTTGGAGCACAGAGAATTAAAAAAATAAATTCATAATCTCTTAGCCTGCTGAATTTTTCTTTGACTAAAAAAGGGAATTCTAAAAGGTATCATTATAATTCTTTGATACACAGATGAGCTTGGCACCTGTGTCCTGCAGACAGAGTTCACAGGGAACATGACTGTCACCGTGTGAGATGCGACTAACTTGCCTTTTGTCTGCTTCTGTAACCTTGTGTGCCTCATCCCCACTTTCACGTTGCTAGAAAGACGCCCCCCCCATTCAGAAAATATGGAAAAACCAGCACATTTCCTTGTCCAGCGCCGAGCCCTTTGGACCTGAGTTCAGCTGGGTCAGGTGCACACCTAATAAATCCTGATTTGCATTTGGTCCCTCTTGTCCTTTTGGGATTCTGCCATAGGCCAGAGAAAAGATCTTGGGGTCGCCATTCATTGGCCCCTTTTGCGGGGACTTTCATTGTTTCCTCTCACTGCTTTAAAAACCCCACATTGCAGAGGAGAACTCACATATATTTTTGCATAGGGCCTGGAAGATCCAGCGGAGACTGCTATTTTATGAGCTGGGTGCCCCCTTCCCCAACACAAATAGACTTCTTAGCTAGACAGGAGTCACATTGTTGATGTTCTCTCCTTTTCTAATTAGTTTCCCGTAGTTAATGTCCCCTGTCTCTAATTCTGTCCCACTTTTGGTCCAAAAGGGTATTAGCCTTAGTTTTATTGGTTCCATGTCATTTAATTAAAAGTATTCTGCTCCTCATTAATGTGTATTTGGAGCACAGACAATTAAAAAAATAAATTCATAATCTCTTAGCCTGCTGAATTTTTCTTTGACTAAAAAAGGGAATTCTAAAAGGTATCATTATAATTCTTTGATACATAATGTTCTGTTTAACTGAAAAATGTTCATTCTTAAAATTTGTGATGCATTTGATTTTCACTTTGCTTGTGCTACTCAGTAACTAGAGGGGCTTTTTAAAAAAATTAATTTTATTGGTGCATTTTAGGTATACAATATAACGACGTTCATCATTGGGAATTTGTGCCTTTACATAATATATCTTGATTCTTATTTTTTCCTTATTCCCCCTGCCCTCCTTTCAACCCCATCCACCCCTCCCTATTTACAGACTTTGTTTCCATTTTTTCCTTTTCTCATATTTTTCCTTTTCTTTCTTTCCTTTTCCTTACCCCTTCCACTTTTCCTTCCCCTTTTCAACTTTTCTTCCTATTTCACATTATCAGTTATACATTTTGATCCTTATTTACATTTTTAGTTTCTCAAACCAGAAAAACCATTTGGTATTTATACATGTGTCCTGTTTATTTCACTTGAGTATGGCCTCAGTGTGTACCATTTAGCTATAAATGTCTCTAGTTTCTCATTCTTATGGCCCAGTAGTACTCCAATTTATTAAAAAAACACACACACACACATTTTCTTTATCCAGTCTCCAGTTGATGGACAAATGGTCTGTTTCCAAATTTTAGCTATTACAAATTGTGCCACTATAAACAAGGGTGTGCATATATCACTGTGGTATGATTCTTTTAATTCTTTTGGGAAGATACCCAGCAGGGGAATAGCTGGGTCAAATGGAACATCTCGTCCTAGTTCTTTGAGGAATCTCCATACTGAGTTCCACAGTGGTTGCACCAGTTCGCACTTTCTCTTTTATACTTGCATACACACATACACAAATGCAGGCCTATCATCTGCAAATGGGTTATTTTCTGTTTTGTCTTATCCTAGGGAGAACAGAGAAAATATCACTTACAGTGAAAACATTTACTGCCTAAAAAAACTTGAGGTTATGTTTTTTCAATCGAATAGAAATTTTATGAAAAAGTCTCATATACGAAGTATGACACCAGGTTCACAAATAGGAGAGATCAGAAAAAGGTTTCTATGAGAAAGTGACATTTTCCCTAAAGCCACTTTGAAAATAGTAAACTGAGTCCCAGACCAAACCTAAAGGAAAGCGGACCATTTAAGACCTATCATTGGCTTCAAGAGAAGTGATCTAAGATTTGATGTCAGCAAAATATTCTATTCTAATTTTATGGCAAAGACCCTCTCAAGTTAGGCAAATCATAGGTATCTCAAACAAATGTTAAAGTATGAGTTTGTTCCTATTAATTACTATTACAAGTGATTACATTTTTATTCTCTTAATCACTGCTTTAGGTAGTATATAGGCAATACTGTTTATGTCAAAAGGTATTTTAGGGGCCGAGGATTTAGCTCAGTTTCTGCTGCCTGCCTTTCAAGTGCAAGGCCCCAAATTCAATCCCTGGTACAAAAACAACAACAACAACAACAACAACAACAACAACAAAGAGCATTTTATACCTACTGCTTCTTAATAATAATTCCCTAGAATGCTACGTGGTTTTTCCTCAATGACTAGACTTTAGCATGTTGAGGTCCTTATTCAAAGTCTCCCAATATTTTCCCCATTGTTTTCAAGAATAAAATTTAATTCCAACCATTGCTTAGCCCTTTCACATTTGCATGTGGTACATGATGTCTACCAGCCTCAGGACTTGCTGTGGCCACACACAGGCATCATCCTGTGGATTGAAGCTTCTCCAGAGAGGCTACATTTGCATTAAAAAAGCTTCAGAGTTGTCTGACTTCTATTAATTGGAATGTGTGACTTTGTTGGGGGAGGTGAGCATTTGTAAAATAGGGAGTGTCAGGCAAGTTCCTGCTATAGCCATTTATCATTTGGCTCTATGCCTGCCTTACTTGTGTGACTACTGAATAAAATCCTAAATGTATGTTAGGTTCTGTGGCCCTTTGGCCCCTTAAATGTGAAGGCTGGGAATGAGACAGTACCTGACTCCTATGGTAAGTTGCCCTGTCTCATTGCAAACTACACTTGAAACTCGTGGACAGTTTCTCCACTTAGTTTGCCTCCTTGATGACCACAACAACAACAACAACAACAACAACAACAACAACAACAACAAAGAGCATTTTATACCTACTGCTTCTTAATAATAATTCCCTAGAATGCTACGTGGTTTTTCCTCAATGACTAGACTTTAGCATGTTGAGGTCCTTATTCAAAGTCTCCCAATATTTTCCCCATTGTTTTCAAGATAAAATTTAACTTTCCAACCATTGCTTAGCCCTTTCACATTTGCATGTGGTACATGATGTCTACCAGCCTCAGGACTTGCTGTGGCCACACACAGGCATCATCCTGAGGACTGAAGCTTCTCCAGAGAGGCTACATTTGCATTAAAAAAGCTTCAGGGTTGTGTGACTTCTATTAATTGGAATGTGTGACTTTGTTGGGGGAGGTGAGGATTTGTAAAATAGGGAGTGTCAGGCAAGTTCCTGCTATAGCCATTTATCATTTGGCTCTATGCCTGCCTTACTTGTGTGACTACTGAATAAAATCCTAAATGTATGTTAGGTTCTGTGGCCCTTTGGCCCCTTAAATGTGAAGGCTGGGAATGAGACAGTACCTGACTCCTATGGTAAGTTGCCCTGTCTCATTGCAAACTACACTTGAAACTCGTGGACAGTTTCTCCACTTAGTTTGCCTCCTTGATGACCCTCCTCTTTATTTTGGGAACTTTAAAAGGCTTGTGAAGTCTCTCCACAGCAGGAGCCATGTCCTTTGGAAAACCATGTCTTTGGGGAGTGTGTCCCTCAGGAGCTCATGCTGTTAACTTTAGTTTTTGTTCCTGGGGGTGCTGTTGTGTGTCAGCTTGGAATAAATCACTCTCCTGTCTTGGAATTCTTGCT